AGTGGACCGTTTTGCTAAAGATCTCTTTCCCATTGAGAAAGTTAGCGTTTCAATTAAATTTGTTCAAGAGTATGGAAAGTGTAAGCTATCTCATATGTCCAAATCAGTGGTGACATACGGGGAAGCAAAAAACCACGTTGTTCGTTTGTGTGAGTGTCCGGGAATGGTAATAAGCCATGTTTATCTCGCCGATCATCCCAAAACAACAAATAAAATTATCGGTTTTTTATGGTATCAAGCTTGAGGTTCATAAGTACTTCAAAACATATGTAGTGAGACATCTTCCAGAGAAACCGAATGGCAGGAACAAACAAACATGCAAAGAGGTAGACTCCGTAACGAACGGGAAAGATTTGAATTAATTTCGAAGAAATTAACCAAATCCACTGATTAAGGCCACGAAAGTGTTTACCCAATCAAATCCTACAAATCATCATTAACTTATAAAAGGCTTTTTATCAAGGAGAAAACTGGCTGGTGAAAAATACTGCGAAACAGGGCTAACTGCAATTACCAAGTTATCACATTTTCCACACTTTCTAACTCAAAAATCTTACTTTGATAAAACACTGAAGAGAATGGCCACATACTATCATAACAAACATGGAAAAAAATGCGCAAGTAGTGGAGACAAGCTAACTTCGGATATGAGAAGCTGTTAACGACTGCAAAGTTTAAGATCCAAAGAAACTCATAAGGCCGACGATTGTGAATGAAGCAAACAATTAACATCCATCCATTAGTTAACCGTTCCAAAAGTGATTAAGCAGCAAGACGGTATGAGTCACGATGCCAGTCCCTTTGCACAGTGATACTTATTTGTACACGAGGACGATGCCTAAAACATAAATACTCCGTTTACAAATGCCTGTATTAGCAGGTGGTGGCCAGGTGTTTAGGTCACCAGTGTGCGACTTGGGGGTCCCGGTTTCGAACCGCTTCACCGGTTGCCGTCTCCCCTAATTTTGCATTTTCCCAGGCAGCATTTGTATGGCCTCCGCCTTTTTCCTGAAAGCTTACTGTTCATTTTTATATTCAGTAAATAAAAAGGAAAGTAAAGGGACAAAAAAAGCAGCTGTACACAGGTTATCTATATTTAAATACAAGTCTTGAGAGTTTAGAACTCAGCGGTTCAATCAATAGTTCAAGAAGATGACAGAATTCAGTGCAGTGTCAAGAAACTCGGTGAGTGGTTTTCCTTTCGATTTAGGAAGGAATCAAAGAGGTGGAGAACAAGTTTCTCTAACTGTATGTATATTATTTTATCATAAATCGAGTAAACCACATGGTAAATTTTACGGTTGGCATATAGATTGATTTTAACCTTGTAGAATCCAAGGTGACGGTAGAATATACACATTTATTAACTGAATGTTGACCGTGGTGAACTTCAGATACGGCAAAGGTAGATAGAAAGATTGATAGATAGATAGATAGATAGATAGATAGATAGACTGATTGATTGATTGATTGATTCATTCATTCATTAATAGGGAATCCGAAAAGTGAGCAACTTCCAGAAACTGTAATGTAGCATGCTATCCAGTAGTATATGATTCGAAAACTTTGAAAAATCGAATGGGATATTTCTGACAAGACAACCGGAATTGAGGAACACTATGTTACTTTCACCAATTATTTTCATTACTTATTATCCTCTCCTGTGTGCTGAAAAATAATTCAAATATGCAGTCTCACATAGTCCATGTGTATCAAAGATGACACAGTGTTTTGTGATGCTCCCTTCTTCGGGACACTCGGCCCTCAGCCCAGAACAGAGGGAACAAATTGAATGCGAAATCTAACACAAATTCACCATATCAATTCCATAATGCTGTATTTCATATGAAGGACTAAAACAAACCCTGGCAGACAGGGGGCTAGTGCACTGTGCGCTAGACTTCTTAACAATTGATTGGATTTCGTGATTTTTCTGTGACTGATAGGACAAAATTCATCCTGGTAAGCTGATTTTATGAATAACCAGACCGGTTCAATTGGGGGCACCAACGCTGTAGGCAGTCACCAGGTCCAATTTTGCATTGTCTGTCTACTTTGACGATTTATCTATAGTCCTCTGTTCATTTAACCATCCCTCAGCTCCATGGAATCCATTAACAAGTTGAAATCTTTCGAAGGATAAGATACACTGAATAGTCCGATCGTGACACTGACAGAATAACAAGTGAAGTGAACTAGCTCATTTTCAATAACTTCTTCCTCTGGTTCATATAATTATAGAAACATGAAGAGAAGAGATATGCAAAAAGTTATGTCCGAATTAATATGCGTTGCTTGGATGAAATGGATGCGGTGAAGAGGGATTGGGAAAGACGAAAAACAAAAAACTGTTTAACAGTGATTTAGAACATCGACCGTGAAACATTGAAGAGAAGAAGCGGAATGGGTGGGGTCAAAGTATCCTGGGACGTGTCATGGGTGAATCGACATTCTGTGTCGAGCCTGGGTCAAGGCGGCTAGAGGACTTTAACAAACTGATTTCGTGAACATAGAGTTGGTTACAATAACTTAATTGCTACCGCTTCTACTGTTTAAGTGTAACTGTATTGACCAGAGAAAGAAGTTATCGAAAATGAACTTGTTCACTACTCGTGTTGTTCTGTCAATTATGACGTTCTTTGTTTATTCGCATTTAACTCACAATTAGTTGTGAGTAGTGTTGTGGGACAAGTGTTATTGATTGATTGATTAGAACCGACCATCCTTCAGACTTCACCTCCACGCACATTCCTTAGCTCTTCCATTCAACCATAGACTTAGAAGCACAGGACTGGAATCCCGCCCTTACTAGAGCTCATCAGTCGTACATATCCACCGTCCCGTCCGGGAGTTGAAATCCGGACCCATCGGACTGAATGCGTGTGCGTTGCCACTGTGTCAACCAACTCATGCTCATATTAATTCAAACTCAACCAATTAAAACTCAGTCAGTGAATCTTTTGTCCTTCCTGATCATCTTGTCTATCGGTCCGTACAGTATAATGTTATCGATTTGCGAAGGTGTCAATCATATAGCCTGGTTTGCCCTTGAGGAAAACCTCAAATACTACTTATTAGACCAGAAGTAGTCTGTACCATCCACGAGAAACCTACGGACGAAATTCCTGAAGGAATTTTTCATATGGTTTTCATTCTGAACAGACTTATCTGCTTCGAAATGAATTTACTCTTGCCCCGTTTTACAACTGATGTTGCCATATCCCGTCGGATAATCAAATCTAAATGTGTTTAGTTGTGCCGTACTTAGTACACATGTTGACTAGTGACTGGTTGAGTTGGTCATTTTTTATTTGGAAAAGCAATATTTTGCTTGTTTCAAGATGGCATTCCGTCAACTATGGTTCTGATTATCTCTGAAATGCAAGTGTACTCTCTTTTGTCACAGTTATTGTAAGCTCTAAATTAATGAATCAATGTATTAATGTGAGCGAATTTTTTCTCATATCTTATTTCTTTAGAAGACACATAATGGACTGCAAATAATTAGTCACTCTTCAACATGTCTCCCGGTTTCAGACAGCCAGTTCAAAGATAGAATTCTCAAACCTGTATGTTCGATTCTTCACTGATCTGTTCGATGACATATGGTACACTTTCATTACGTGTATATTATATTTGCTCACCAATCGGATACGACAGTGGGATTAAAGGCCACCCTGCAAGTAAATGACAATTCGGCTTCGATCCACTGAAATTCGGATAGACAAATCTGAAGTATTTGTGCTCGACGGTTTCGGAAAAATGTCGCAATATTTGGAATTTTTGTCAAAGTTCCAGAGAAAGTAAAAGCTTGTTGAACATAGCCATCGAATTGCGGGAAATTTTGCAATTTTGAAAGATTATGACTCACTTTGGGAGCAGAAAGGAAATATTTTAAAGGGGGGCACGGAACCTTCCCACCTTTTATGTCGTTGTGCTCACGTTGGAATTTTAGAAAAGACTCGAGGTTTCTACAGCACAACGCCAAATGTCCAAACCACATTTTGGCCCCACCATTAAAAGGGTGAATTCAATACTGATTTAGGCTTTTTATGGTGTGAAAAGTCTCAGTCACTGTAAGATTCGTATATCACGTGGCAAAATAACATATATACATACTAGTTGATTGAAATGAATTTTGCGGCAATCATCTAATGCACGACATGCTTCATTTGATTATCAACATACCCACGCAAAAATAATAAAATGATAAAAAAATATTTTCACCACGAATGCTTCTTTGATAAACACGGATGAAAAATTAGAAGGGAGCATCCGGGATCCAGTTATTCTCAATTCTGCACCGTGACTGAATCCGATTCACCAATAATCACAGACACTCTAACAGCGGAATCGTGTTGATCTTGGCCTTAGGTGTATATCATTCCGTCCCAGAGTTGGAACTCATCCCACACTTCATTCTCCTTGTATCCCGGAAATTACATCTAACGTAAGACATCGAGTGTGAATTGTAGACGGGACAAAGTTGAATAGATAGCCAAAACAACATTAACAACAACAATAACAGGAAGGACGGCACATCACAAGCTTCGTGTATTTGTTAATTTCTTTGCAACACGGTGACTCATTCAGCAATGATCCCAGTGCGTGAGTGTGGGTGTGTGTGTTATCTGGCACAGTGTCATGTTCACGATTCACGATTCGGCACCGTTGTCTGTGTAACGCAATGTGGAGCTCAAGTTAAGTAAACAGGACCATCAATCATTGGAATGATAAACAGATATGAATCCTTGTCGGTTTTCCAGATTACATGAAAATAAGTGTAATGAACAAACAACACATATCCAGTGTGATAGATAATACCTGATATATTTTGAAAATGGTGTTCTCCTGGATAACACTTTTTTCATGGGATGTAATACCGTAAACACTGGGTGAATCAGACAGCTTATGTGTTGAACATATAGGCTTCAAGTTTCTATGCACAGCGCTTGTGGTTCAATTCGACTTTCAATCGTACTTTTTCTGCCGTTTTCCAGAAATTCGACTGTTCCTTTTCAAACGGCGAGGTGATCTACTACCACGAGGGCAATCCGTTAACAAACCATGATCACGTTCAGGTGACCATATTTTTTTTCCGAAACAATAATTCTGTCGTACAAACTGTGGATGTGATGGTCGACGTGGTGGACGAGCCCCCGGACCGTGTGACAAAATCGAATGATACCGCTGCCCGGCTAATTTCGGCACGGATGCGGGACAAACAGACAAATAGGGTGCAACGTGTGGAAATCATTCGTCAGGTGAATGTGACCAGTTTGAAACCGACCAGTGATAGTATCAGTCCGGAAATTCTGCGAATCACGTGAGTGTTTACTGGGTGCGAAGTGTTGTTGTTGCCGAAGAAGGGGAAAAACAGTTTGAAATGATTCATTCAAAAAAAAGAACCGAGTATGGAACACGATGGATGTAAACAGAACTAAATCAAGCCTATCGGTTTGGAAATGAACATTTTAGACTCACAAATATTTCCTATAGATATGTTATCCGAAAGGATTTTTGTTCAAATGCATGCGTTTCTCTTACCAGACAATATATTATCTTATTCTAATTGAGGTGGAGGTTAGAAATGTTAGTTTGTATTTTATTAGTAATCCAAGGCAATGTAACATTTTATAAAACCAAGGCCAAAGGAAGTCACAGACAGAATATCGTTTACGAAGCTTTAATTCCAATGCATGAATGTACACTACTGTTTCTATTGCTATCCATCTGGTCATCGGGCATTTACGGATTTTTCACAAATCCGTTGTTTAACCCACTGGTTATGCAGTCGATTAACTTGTATCCATAAGAACTAACTGTAAGAAAAACTAAAAGAAACTATGGGACCGAAAAGCTGAGATTTGAGATGAAACTATGTCAGTGATGCAGAGACAAAGATGATGAAAATTGTCTTCCTTATCAATCATTGCAATTCATTAAGGAATTACCTTTGAGATTGAGTTGCAACCAATAGAAAGTGCATCATTGTAAGTCACTTATTGGGTGACCCTATAGCTGCATATCTATCTAACAGATGGGCATATCCAAATACAGGCAGAGAGGAGACAGATAGACAAAGTGACTGACTGACTGACTAACTAACTGATCAAATGAATGAATGAATGAATGAATGATTTAGAGTGTATTCGTGAACCTTCTGCCTTTTCTGTTATTCCTTCAAAACGTTTTCTGGTAATTCATCCTGTTTAACCTTGACCAAGAACACCAACTAACATCAAACAAATAAAAAAGTTCACTCAAATCCATTTCAATCTTTATTTAAGTTATGACCCAGTTGAAGAAGACTGTCGTCTGACTTACACGAGCCCCGAATTCTGGACAGTGGAAACGGAGAGCCCCGATTCAAGTGGGGCAATCGGTCCAGATGGAACAGTGTCTCCCCGATTTGGTCTACCGTTGGCCGCAGGCAGTGCGGTCGGTGGAGCTCGACGTTGGCCATTGTTTGGTCAACTGGTTGCATTTAATCGCAGCGCGGTTCCTTTTTTCGATCACGACTGTCAGGAGGCGCTGCTTCAGGGTTATCGGTAAGTGATGAAGCACCACCTTTTGCTAAGAAAATTATTCACCTAAGTTAGTATTTTCCGTGCAACAGGGTGGTAACAGCTGTGCTGCTGATTCACATATTTCCGATGACAATTATTGAGATTG